TAAGTGCTCAATAAATATTTGTTGAATGAATAAATGAATGAATAAGTGGGTGGATGGATGGGACCCCAGGAGAACAGTGAGGAGTAGGAGTCTGTACCTTGGGTCCAAAGAGGCCAGCAATTCCTGGAAAGCCCATCTCGCCAGGGTCGCCCTGTGTGGAGAACAGGAAGAAATGGGTCAAGTGGGTCAGGACAAGGGTGCCCTTCAGGCAGGCCCCTTCCTGGCCTATCTGGGGACATCAGCAGCTCCACTGGGAGGCCATCAGAGTGTGGACAGCTCACAAACTAGATACCAGTCAGCCTGGGCTCCAAGGGGGACTATGCCCTCAGTCAGATGAGAAAGTGGAGCCCAACATGGGTATTCCATAAGGAAAGCTCTACAATATGCAGGAGCTCCTGTCCCAGGTCTTCAAGGGAGAGCATGAAAGGACCCGCAGAATCCCCCCACCCGTCCGAAAAGCTCTGTTAAGGAATGGTCCCCTAAAAGTAGCCCCACTAGTTGAGGGCCTACTATGTGCCTGGTGCTTTGTAGGTACCACGATGCGTGCATGCTCCCACAGCAGCCCAGGGAGGCACCATAGCCCATGCTCACGGATGGGGAAACTGAGGCTCAGAGAGGGCAGGAACTTCCTCAAAGTCACACGGATGTCATGTTGTGAAGTCCGCTAGATTCAGGCCAGGTGTGAATGGTTCCAGGGGCATTCATGCCTCCTCTCCTGAGCCCTGCTCCCCACTTCCTGATGGGCTGGAGAACAATCAGCATGGGGTGGGGGAGCAAGGGAGCCCCTGAGCACCTGGGAGTCCATCATTACTGGCACATTCCTGGGGCTTGGCATTCAAGCTCATGAGTCAGAAAGCCTTGGGTTAGAATCTCCTGGTCTTATATTTTGAGACCTGGGGCTAGTCACTTCCCCTTACTGAGCCTAGGTTTCCCCACCTGTAAAACAGGATAAAAAGCCATCTTCCTCCATGCAGGTGAAGACCTGGCACTGGAGAGGGTGGGCTGAGGGGTCAGGATTTGGGTGAGTCCCATGTCATCTAAATCCTACCTGTTTATTCTTGAAAATAATGGTTTTATTGAATTATAGCTCACCTATTACAAAATTCATCTTTTTAAAGTGTATAATTTAGTGGCTTTTAATATATTTACAAAGTTATACGTTGATCACCACTGTTCATTTTCATCAACCCAAAAAGAGACCCTGAACCCATTAGCAGTCACTCTCCCTTCCCCTTGTCCTCCAGCTCCTGGCAACCACTAATTTATTTCCTGTCTCTATGGATTTGCCTATTCTGCACATTTCATATAAATGGAATCAGGTAATACGTGGCCTTTTGTCTGGCTTCCTTCACTTAGCATTATGTTCTGAAGGTCCATCATGTTGTAGCATGAATCAGTACTTCGATCTTTTTGTGGCCAAATCATGTTCCATCATATGGAAATACATGTTCCAACATATGTCACACCACATGTTATTTATCCATTTATCAGTTGGTGAACATTTGAATTTATGAATAATGCTGCTATGAACATTTGTGGATAGGTTTTTGTATGGACATATGTCTTCAGTTCTCTTGAGTATACACCTAGGAGTGGAATTACTGAGTCACAGAGTAACTATGTTAAACAGGGGAACTGCCAACCACTTTGCAAAGTGGCTGCACAATTTTATACTCCCACCAGCAATGTGTGAAGGTTCCATTTTCTCCACGTCATTGTCAACACTTGCTATTGTCTGTCTTTTTTACTTAGCCATCCTAGCGGGTGTAAAGTGGTATCTCATTGTGGTTTTGATTTGTCATATATGTGTTTATTAGTCTTCTTCTTAAAAAAGATTTGCATATCTTCTTTACAGAGATGTCTATTCAAATACTTTGCCCATTTTAAAATTGGGTTGTCTTTCTATTCCTGAGTTGTAAGGGTTCTTGTATATTCCAGATACAAGCTCCTTTTCAGATATATGATTTGCAAATATTTTCTCCTGTTCTGTGAGTTTTTTCACTTTCTTGATAGTATCCTTCAAACCACAAATGTTTTTGATTTTGATGAAGTTCAATTTATCTACTTTTTCTTTTGTTGCTTGTGCTTTTGGTATCATATCTAAGAAACTATTGCCTAGTGCAAGATTATAAAAATTTATCCATATGTTTTCTCTTAAAAGTTTTATAGTCTTAGCCCTTACATTAAGGTCCCATGATTCATTTTTAGTTCATTTTTATCTGTGGTGTGAGGCAGGGGTCTAACTTCATTCTTTGGCATGTAGATATGTAATTGTCTTAGCACCATTTCCTGGAAAAAACAAATATTCTTTTCCTGCTCAATTGTTGTAGCACCCCTGTTGAAAATCAACTGACATAGACGTAAGGGTTTATTTCTGGATTCTGAATTCTATTCCACTGACCTATATGTCTCTCCTATGCCAGTGCCACACTGTCTTGATAACTATAGTTTGTAATAAGTTTTGAAACTGGAAAGAGTGAGTCCTCCAATTTTGATCTTTTTCCAGACTGTTTTGACTATTCTGGGTCACTTGCATTTCCTTATGAATTTTNTTTGATCTTTTTCCAGACTGTTTTGACTATTCTGGGTCACTTGCATTTCCTTATGAATTTTGGAATCAACTTGTCAGTTTCTGCTACCAAAATAAGATCAGCTGGGATTTTGATAGGGATTACAATGAATCTGTAGATGATTTTTTGAGGATTATTGCCATCTTAACAATATCAAGTCTTCTGATTCATGAACATGGGATGTCTTTCCACCTACTTAGGTTTTCTTTAATTTCTGCCAACAATGCTTTGAAGTTTTCAGTGTACATGTCTTGTACTTTTTGTTAAACTTATTCCTATTTTATTCTTTTTGACGCTACTATAAATGGAATTGTTTTCCAAATTTCATTTTTGGATTGCTCATTCCTAGTGTATAGAAATACAATTGACTTTTGTATATTGTATATACAAATAATATTTTTATATATTGATATTATATTCTGCAACCTTGGCTTATCAGTTCTAATAATTTTGTTTTGTAGATTCCTTATGATTTTATATATACAAGATGGTGTCCCTTGTGTTTAGAGATGGTGTTACTTCTTCCTCGCCAATCTGTTTCAGTGTGATGTTGATTAGAATGGGTAAAAATGGAAATCCCTGGCTTGTTCCTGATCTTAGGAGGAAAGCATTCAGTCTTTCACCATTAAATATAATTGCAGCTGTGGAATTTTCATGTTCTTTCTCAGGTTGAGGATGTTCCCTTTTATTCCTAATTTGTCATATTTTTATCATGAAAAAGCACTGGATTCTGTCAAATGCCCTTTCTGCATCTATTGGGATGACTGTGTGATGTTTGTTCTTTATTCTATTAATATGGTATATTATATTGACTTATCTTCATATGTTGAACCAGCCTTGCATTTCTAGGGTAAATCTCACTCTCTCGTGGTCTGTAATCTTTATTCAGAATTTATTTTTGCTAGTATTTTATTAAGGATTTCGGTATCTGTTCATAAGGGATATTAATCTGTAGGTTTCTTTTTTGTGATGTCTCTGTCTGGTCTGGGTATCGGGATGATACTGGCTTCCTAGAACAAGCTGTGACAAGTTCTACCTGTTCATTTTTGCACTCTGATTGTTGTCTCCTATACATCTATCAG